AAAATATATAATATATATAAAATTCACTCACAAGTGGTCTTAAAAAGGTAAAGCATTAATACAATAACTCCATGAAAGATAAAAGGTAACTAGCTTGAGCACATTAACTTAAAAAAATGTAAGAAAACTGCAGTTATATCCATAAAAAGATCATCAAATCCCTACATCCACTGATTTCCCAACAATTTCAAATGTGAATTTATCGCTCTTACATGACAGCTCTGTGCTTGTCCATCTGGTAACACTAACTGTATTCTTTCTTTCGACTGAATGCATACCAATCCACTGCCAGTACAAATTCCTGCATAGAATGCAAAATTTATTTTCTTGTAAGTATACTCTAGATACTCAAATTCAGTTGTCAACTCAAACCCTCAAATGTTTGTGGGAACAGGACAGCAGACAAATCTAAGTATAATGAAAATAACCCAATTTAAAAGCTCAAGTGACTTCTCATGGAAAATACTTTGTAGAGTTAACCCATCATATCTGCACAATTTATAGTCAAGAGTATTTCAATGTGACAATATTTATTGCTATGAAACTGGAAAAAGTGACTCGTCAGCTGACTTTAAACAAACATATCTATTGCTGTGGTGATCAGGTCATTTAAAATTCTTCCTTTTGAATGTGCGTCACACAGCATGAAGAAGTCTCATGAGGAACTTTCTGTCCAAGGGGATTTACTGGGCCTATTATTCTGCTCCCGATATTTATCCTCTGATTCCGCAGGAATAGCTGTTCCCGGTTCAAGAGTTTCTGATCTAATATGCAAAGCATTTATTTTAAACTCAATATGCTTTTGCCTGTGCACTCCGGAGCTGGTGTAACTTTTCCATTAACTTAAACAAATGCTGCTGTATTTTTAGACCATGTAATTACCCTACATCAGCAAGCTGGCCCTTGTGAAAGTACGCTGGAGAAAGATTCGAGCCCTATGGTTCTCTGCTTATAAAAGTCTGAAACCCAAGCCCTCGGATGTGGTGATTAATGAAATGCCTCTTGATCATTTGATCGGATCCCACTTACCGAGGTAAATTGTTTTAGTTTTCCATTGGCATAGATGGGATTTTTCAGTATAATGACTGGAGGGTAAAGACTTCACACTTGAAAAGACATACCACTCTGTGTTAATGGACGACCACTGAGAATTGGAACATGTTTTAAACTTCTTCATTCCTCCCTCGAAGATAAAAGACTAAGGAGATATTTTTGTTACGTCCACAGAAAGTTCCTTGCCTGAAATGCTGTATGAACATCCTGGCAATAGCATTAGCTCTATAATTCTGCTGTTCGAAAACCTCAACAGCTCTGTGATTACAAGCATTTGTCAAGCGGCAACAGGCATTTGGCAATGACAAAATCTGTCATTTTTTCTGAAGTTGGAGTGTGCCAGTCAACAGCTGCATTAGGCTGTCAGCATAATGCACCGCAAAACATCAGCAGATTCACAATGCCACCATTAACACTTTAATTCAATGTTTTGATAGCAAGAAGCTCCACGAGGCATACAGTTGGCCTCTTCTGTCACAGAAGTCAGTGCCTGCTTCAGATTTGTCTGTGTCGAGATTCAACACAGTCACTGTGAAACATATCCAGGCCATGCTTCGTTTGTCACAATATTTCATTTTCTTTTTTTGCTTGTAAAACAAATTTCGGTTTCAGAGAATGAAGAAGTGATTTTCAAAAAATGGTATTGCCAAGAATACCTATTAAAATACTTCTGCTACCCCAATAAAAGAATTACTAATGCATTTGAGACTACAGCAGGTCTCGGTGGAATGGGACTACTATTACGGGAAAGGGAATCTCTCAGGTAAGTAGAAACACTCTCACAGCAGTCTGCATTGTGTATCCAAGAGCTGTAGCTGTCCAAGAAACAGCAGAGAAAGACAGCTAGACCCCCAAGAAGAGACTTTTCCACTTAGATGGTGCCTGAAACACTACAGGAATAACATCCCAAAAGGCAGAGCCTCTGTGAGTGGGTACATGGATAAAGGTCAAGGTGTTTTAGAGAGGAAACTCAAGGCTTGCGAGGTGTAATCTACAGGCAATGTCCTTAGCACTGGATAGCACGGCCTCTGAGGAGACCACAAAGCTTGCAATCAGAATGCACTGTACAGTAAACTCTCTCTTGGCAGCAGAGTGAAAGGAAGAGAAAACATCATCCACAGACCTTAGCTTGTAGAGAGGCATTAACTTCTTTTCTATTCCCTTTGTGAATCCATTATTCATCAGCATGTATTTTCTACTCCTTAAGAATTTCCTCACCACCTACAAAGCGAGTATTACCCAGAAACTACACGCTAGGCTATGTATTTCCACAACTACTTGGCAAAGTTGTATGCTAGGCTAATTAATGGCTTTTGACAAGAAAATAGAATCTTATCCTCACTAAAAAGTTCAGGGAAGAAGATTTTGAGCCTGCGTGTCACATTACTCACAGCTCCCAGTGATGTAAGGGAGAAGTAAGCAATCTCATCACCTCTGATAATATCAATACCATTTAGCCTGTATTGTCACAGGGAGCAAACTGCTCTTCATAAAATACAACTTAAATTACCTACCTACAAGTTTAAAAAGAGTTGACAGTCTGAACTCCTCTGAGTGATGGTACCTCAAAAGCTCAACTGAAGAGGCTGAAACGTGGATGAAGTATCCTGGTTTTGCAAATGACTCAAAGGAACTGTATCCTGAAAGCCATGTATTCTTGTGAATAACAAACGTAGATCTGTTGTGAAATGCTTCTCTTTTTTCCCATTTAGAAAGAACAAGAGTATTATTGGAGGCCAACTGAAGAAAATAGTTTGGTCTCTCAGCTGTTTCAAATGAAATCAAATTGGAATCTGAAAAAAATACAGAGAAATCATTTACTTGCCGATATATGCATAACAAACTAAAATCATTCTGATGTGCCACTACTGATATTAGCAGAATGGGCAATGGAAACTGACTTTGGCCTTATCAGTGAAGATAGGCTGAATCTGGTAAGAAAATATACTATACATGAATTTCAGAGTGCTAGATTCTGACAGATATTTAGTTTTCTAAATACCCTACAGATTTCAACAGGAATACAAGCAGATTAAGATATCTGCCTGCACCAGGATAAAGGAATATAGTCCCACAGTCAAGCAGAATTTCAGTTTACAGCCTTCACTAAGCAATTTATTTAATAAAAATTTAAACGTCCTCTAACTAGCTTGACAAGTAAGGTTTGCCATCAGGAATTTATAGCTTAAGAGCTCAGCCCTCATTAAAAATAAATTACAAAAATATATTTTGCATTCAGCTTACAGCGAAGTCTGTTTTCTGGCAAATGTACCTACATGATACCTTAACTCTGAAAACAGTACTGCTGATTTGAAGCAAGCCTCTGTACAATCAACTGTAGAGTGGCAGATCTTGAGCCTGTTACCGGCATCTGTTGCTCACAGAATTACTTAATCTCTTTTGCTGTAAACTCTGCTATTCTCTTGAAAACAGCCATTAAACTACTATAAAGTCAACTAACACTTCAGGCCTGGGTAGCATTTCTTCAAAAAAAAGAATTCACTGAAAACAAATGACCTTTATTAAACAGATATGCTATCACATTCTGGTATAACACTTCTGGAAGATCAGCTTGTTGTACAAGCAGACAGACAATAAGCGATGGTGGATCATGGAGTACTTTTCTTGCATCATTACTCTCCCACTATTTCCCATGTCCCAGTTCTGCTAGAGGAAAGGTAGCGGGAGCAACAGGTGTCTGGAGCACTGGGCTACAACACCGGTCTGGTGCTTCTGAAGGTAGGGGCGGTGAGGGAGGGCTGTTGGTTTTCAGCTAAAAAAAGTTACCTATTCATAAAACTACAATCTAATTAAAACCAACCAAATTAAAATTTTGGCAGATAACATTAAGGTACACAATCAGCTGACAGATAAAGAGAAGATTTTTTTGACCCAGATCTATTCTTAAATGCAGGCTTGTATTCAAGGGTAGAATTTGCTATGCCGTATTTAAGCCTCTAGGTTAGTGTGACTTTACCATGTGCTTTGGGTTTATACAGTCCTGAAGTCAGCATAAAGCTCACTGCGTATCCAGGAACAATATCTTCTTCTCTCTCTGTGAAAACAACACCATCCACCAGTTTCACTGCCATCACAAATTCTCCATCCAAATAGCTGACCAGTTTGTACGGGCCCTTTCCCAGAGCTGTTGGAGATAAAAAAAAAAAAAATTGGAATTACCTTTCATGTCAACTGCCACAAATGTTTGAGTTCTAAATATTATGATACAGCACATGAAGAAAAAACACACCTCTCCACTTTGAAAATAGCTCTAGGTGTCATGCACTAACCAATAATGACAACCAAAACAAAGCCAAACTCTTTTAGAAAATACCTGTTCTGAAAACGATCCAAAATACATAGCTTCAATTTTCAAGATTAGCTTCTCCCTTTCCTCCCTCTCATTTACTTTGGTTTCATAGTCACTTTACCAAAGGTAGCTGACTTATTATTTGATTTAGAAGTAAACAGTGTTCTATGGACCACCCCAGGATCCCTCCAAATTGTTTATTTGTATGGTTGAACTGAATTATACACTTTCTACTATTCTTTAAAACCAATTTTGTTAGTGTCCAAAATGTGAGGCATTTTGCAGGGAACAGAAGTTTGTTGTCATCAAGTATGGAAGAACTCATTGAACAGTGTAGATACAGACATAACCACTGGGAAGTGAGAGAGGAAGAAATCAGCATCATAAGCAAAGGAATTATCATATTTTACCCATAAGTAAAAAAAGCCAAAAGCAAGAGAATCTATAGTTTCCCAAATCTTACAATGTCACATCTCCCCACTTAGTCAAAATTTCACTGCAGAAAAGTATTGGAAATTATTTTTTTAAAACTTTTCTGTTAAAATCAAGCATTTTAGAGCACACATGAGCAATTCACCACACTACCATCTTACAAGCCAGGACACGGCAAGCATGTATCTAAGGTAGAAGTGCCCCACAACTTCTCAGCTGATAGTTGCAGCGAATACCATTGACACTTAAAAATCTGTTCCAACAGGTTAAAAGTTTAGACTGTAATTTGCAGCCTGCCCTTCTATTCTGATTCTCCCAAATCTTAAAATCCATTAAGAGTTTTGAAATTTTAAGGAGGCTGCACTGCAACCAGAGTTTTAGATTCTAATAGCATAAATAGGTGGTCAGTTAGGACCAGCCCATGCCTAGCTAAACATGCACAGTGATAACCTGGTTACCTTCAGTTCAGGGAGCTGAAAAACATTTTAAAAATTACTTAAAACATCTAGTGTTCTGGAAAGGTTATTTGATGTTTAAGTCTCGTATCTCAGGCCCATCCAAAACTTGATAAACCACAGCTACCAGCTGAGAATTTCTCCTTACCAAAGACAAAAGGCTTCTGCTCTTGCTTCCAGTAGGACTGGAACCATTTCACTCTGGATTCATGACAAAGTTGCATAGAGAAAAACTCTCTGGTCTAAGACAGTTTCTTAACCTTCCTGTCTCCAAAACTAAGTAATTGTGGGGAATGCTACTATTTTGAGGTAGAGAAGAAAGTCCTCAGCTTAAAGATTATTTTTTTCCCCATGAGCAGCTCTGAAACATCTTATGTTGAATACCGATGAGCTGGATTAGCAAACAGCAGCAAAATACCAAGTGAGAAGTATACAATAACCATGTTTATTACAAGCTGGTCACATGCACATCTCTCTACTATTTCAACTAATTTCTGTCAATGAGAACTCAGTAATGAGTAAAACTAATAACACACTCTAAAAGTACATGTTATATCTAACTTCACTGCTACCACAGACATTAGAGGCACTGCATTTTCAATCTGTTACAACTGCAGTAAGATTATCTAGTATCAGACTGTATTTCGTTTATAAAACAAAACAAATCAGAAAGGAAATGTAAAACTGCAATCACCTCTTATATTCAGATAGCATTTATTTTAATTAATTTAAGGGCTTAAATAGTGATTTAGATAAAATCCATTACATTAGCAATTTGACCCCACTCAATCTTTTCAGCAGACAGTATATCAGAAAACATGCATTTCTTGGCTGTATCATTTGGGCCTGGCATGTTGCAGAATTCTCTTCTAATTTAAACTCAGTCCCTCTCCAAGATCTGAAAGGGGGTGAGTTGGTGCAACACGGAGTCTAATCAAAGACCAAAATATCATCAACAATCTTGATAGGCAGGCTTCTCTACATGAGCTTAATAAAAAGCTACAGAATAAACAGCAGGAGTCCTGACCACTCCTCACATCAGGCTGGCTTGCTGTGCTTGTGTGTATGCCATTGTCTAACTATGCAGACACTCGCAATATAACTTTAAAATAGTCTGAATATGGATTCTAGTGTTAACTCAGATGTACAGCACCCAGTGCAGATCCAAGGTTTGCTCTAGCACCTTGTACAAGTTTTGCACCTCTCTCTGAGAGCCACTCTAAGGCACCAGCAATGCTTGTCCTTCAGGCACTTAAAGCTAGCTCAGACCTACTTGAACAGCGAGTTACTCCCCATTTGGGCACAAAAAGTTGCAATATCTTAATAGCTAGCTCCCTCTGGAGGCTGCACAGCAGATCATGATTGGTTTAACAGACCCACTGGGTATCAGCTTTGAACTGCAGTATGCCTGAAGCAAGTAGTGCCACTAGTATTACTGTGTTGAATAGTCTTAATTATTTAACGATTTAATTGTTTAATCATAATCCACAAATGCAAAGAAAATGAGTTAAACACGTATTCTTGGGAAAGGCCCAGGAATAAAAAAAGATTATGAAATTAAAAGCCTTTGAAAAAGCAAAATAAACCAGTAGAACAGAACCTTGGCTATTTAAATAACGTATCATTCACAACTGTTTTCATTAACACAAATATTTTTATACAAAGTACTAAGACTTATATAAAGAAACCAAAGCTTCTATTTTATCAGCTCCTTTAGGACTTACCTTTGTTGAAATATTCACAATCATAAGCTAAAAAAATAAAAAGAAAAGAAATGGAGTTGTAAGCATTCTGCAGATAAACAAGTTTTCTATTACCCTTTACAATTACAGGATAAGCCAAACAGTTGGATAAGTCAGATCATATACAAACACTCATTAAAAAATTACTCCCAAGTATTTACTTTATTGCTTTAAATAAAATATTGTTTTCTAAAAGGAAATACTAAGCTTACATACCTACAGCTATCCTTTTGTGACCTCTAGTGGTTAAGACTAAGCTTTGCTGTCTTTCCACGTTCACATTAAAGCACATTCACCATTTCTATCAAAGACTAGGAGTAACCCTCCCACTTAGGGCAAATTTCCTATGTGACTTCAAGCAAGCTGCATACTCTCTCTCTGTAACTGCAAAGTTATAAAAATGCTTGTCTCCTTCCATTCTTTCTCTCTGGCACCTTTTTATCACATATTTGGGGAAATTAGTCTCCTGTTATGCATTTGCACTAGGTGCCATTGAAAAGGCCTCAGATTTTTTACAACTTCTAAGCACTGTTGAAGAGGGATACTAAGGTAATGACAGTCCTGCTTAAAATCTACTTGTTTCCCTTCAGAAGACCTTTACATTTCACACTTGCTCTGGCGGCAGCAGTAAGGCAGCTATGTTTCCTAGACCCTGCTAAGAACTGAAGTCCCCCTGAAGATGGAAGTTACTTGAGCTGTTAACTTTGTAATTTTGGTTTGAGGGATGCATGCCATATCCTAATATAGATTTCCTGTCATTTTTCCTTTCACATCATAGGACAAGGAATGAAAAACAGAAGAGGACCACAAATAAGGAAAAAAGCACACAGTCCAGTTAGACCAAAATCAACATGGAGGGCAGTGAGAAGCACCCACTCATCTTCCTACCAGTGTGGCTTAGTGATTTAATTCATGGCCCCAGGAAACTTAATGTGATTGATTTTTCAGGTGTGGGTCTCATGAACGCAGACAGCAGCAGCCACTGGCCAGGCTAGTTAAGTAAACTTACGACACACTCTAGGGGACCTCCAGTCTACAGCAACTCCATGCTGGCAGCACTGATGGGCATATGCTGATATACTTGTACAGAAACACTCACAGTCACCTCCTTGGCTACAACCACATGTATCTGTCAAGCAGTTTGAGTAAAACCAGGTGACGTCAATCTGGAAGTACAAATATCACTTATCAAAAATGTTGCCAGTGTCTCTATGAATAATCACCTCAATACAAAGCTATGACTCTTTCAAAATCTAATATATGAGAGTTTGAAGTATTAAAAACTTTAATTTAAATTTTTCCTGAAACACAAGAAAAACAGTTTATTAAAACACATCATAAAAAATTGTACAGGACTTAGTAACACAATGAAATCAATGACCCATTAAGAACATGCACACTAAGATGTTGATGTGAGCTTATGTTTTGTATGGTTTTGTAATATTTAAACCATAATAAACTATAAAGAAGCTTATTTAATAAGAGAAACTCTCTCTAAATTGATCACAAATCAATGAATCTCAGAACTGTTAAGAAAGTTAGATATACATAAAATGTAAGAAATAACAAACTACACAGAAAACTTATTTTCACGTGAGTGGTTCATTCTCTTCATGTTGTTAGACAACTTCACAGGTGAATTTGTAATTTTGCCCTTACATTATTTTGAAGTTCTAAGTGACAAAATTTCAAAGAGAACGGTCAATGCTAATTTGCTTATTGAATTGTTACACATTCTACATGGATTTACACTTGAGTAATACTTACACACTTAAGAGGAACTTAGTTGCTACTTATGTTATACAGTGGACTAAATCAATGTTACATTAATACGATTTTAACATCAGCTTCCCCTTTCCTCCAAAATAATATACAAAGCAACCCTGTAAGATTCCTGGTTGTCTTTCATGTGAAATCTCCTTTCTCTCTAGGAACCATTCTGACATTTACACTCTTTAAGCCATGCACATCTTGGGATATGTCATTTTCCATATAAGACCTAGCTCTGGAAATTGGTCCCCCTCTCATTCTCCAATTGAACCTGGGCCTGTTGGTTGTCAGAACATGTTGTATGGGTCATTTATTTCCTTATGTGGTTGCCTGAGTAAGAAGATACATGCATATTTTCCTCGGAATGATTTATTCACATCTGATAATGCCTATAAGAAACTGACAGTTTATTTAAATATGCCTGAAAAACGTACGTGCTGTGCAATGCATTTGAGACAAATGAAGCAAGTGGTTATGCTTATGCAAACAGTCCTTGGGATGAAAAAAAAGATAACACAAATTGGGTGTAATTATGTCTGCATTAACTACAAAGGGGACTAATAGGACTACCCATATTGTAGAATGCTAAATTGGTACCAAAGTGGCTTACTGTCTAGGGCAGCTAAGTGCAGATAGCCCTTTAAACACACCCATTTAAACATTCACATTTTAGAAACAGAATAGGTATGGGTTAGACTTTCTCCGTGTTCTCTTTTGCTGTTGTAGTCAAAATTATTACGTTACGGAAGACAAGATGAAGATTTAAAGTGATGTGAGTTGAAGAATAAAGTTTCTCTCTAGTGATATGCTCACTTTGACATCTTTCTATACGTCACCACAACTCACCACTGGATGGCAAGCTTCAAATGCTTCACTTAAGAGTATTCCACATTCCTTCTTGGCAAATGGCTCTCTAAGGGGATTCAAACTGCATGGATTTCGAATGTCAGAGCTGTCAACACACTTAAGCAGAAAGCAAAATCAAGGTGAGAAATTTGCTTCGTAACCAGTGTGTTTGAACTTGCAAAGCATAGGGCTTTTTTTTGTTGTTGTTGTTTTTGTTGGTTTTTTTTTTTTAAAGGGATATAAAACACAAAACAAATGCATCATTTATGAAACTAAAGCGAGACTAAAACATGGAATTAAAGGGGACGATAACCTGCAGAAAAGGAGAAGGACACAATCTGAAGAAATGTTTAGTTTATCTGAGAGTTGCAGTAAAACACATACGTATATATAGGTCTAAACAGAGCTGCCATGCAGTCCCAATCTGCGGCCCTTACACCTGAATAGTGCAGCCTACATAAATAAAAAAATCACTTGGACAACATACATTAAAAGGGTCAGAAATCAGACCTTTTTACTTTAACTACTGGGAAGGAACATGTCTGTGAACACCACTAGACATGTGACATTAAAAAAGTTCGATTTTTAACTTTACAGCATATGGAAAGAATATTTTTAATTTCCATTGCTATGGTTTCACAGTTAAATATTTCCCAGCTATGAAAGATCAGTTAAACTGACAACACAATCTAAAGTGAACCCACAATTCTTCCATTACATTAAAAAAAAAAATGACTACTGTTCAAACAACGCTTTCAGAAACACTGGTAGATTCACAATATTGGACAGCGTTTTTTGCTACACTATAGAGCTGTGTATAAGAAAAGGGAATTATTTTCTTCTCCTTAATGGATCATGTAAGAACCATTGATATTTCCATTCGCATTGATGCCTGATTGATACTTCCAGGAATAAATTTCTGATTTAATTCTAGATAAACTATATGATATAACGGCAAAAAACCTAGTAGCAAACACTTTTTTTTTTTTTTTTTACTATGTACCTCTACAGCTGTCCAGCTGTTTCCAAACTCTTGTGAGTTTGTTAATTCTAAGTTATCTGGAGTCCTCAATTCATTTACTGTCTTCAAATCAAAATTTCCACATAATCCAGTCAATTTATCCTGGGAAAAAACATACATACATACAAATATATATATAAATAAAAGTGTATTTCCATATGATTTCTGACATTGTCTATTCACTGAGTAACAATAGCATCCTACTTAGTGAGACTTACATAAAGACCTCAAAGAAACGGCAATAATAGTGTTGACTTCCACTTACCTGCCACTGATGACCCATCTGTACATGAACTGTTGTTCTCTGATCCCAAAGAATGGTGATATGCTCATTAGGAAAATGAACAACAGTGAAAAATCCAGCTTTCCATAACTGTATTTTCTGTTCTTCAGCTATGTAACTAGATAAGCTCTGCTCGAAATAAAACAAGGCAACTTATAACATAAGTAATGTCTTCACAAAATGTTCACTTGACAGGAAATGAAAAACCCAAACAAAACGAACAACAAGGTTCTCAGACAGAAGTCCAAAAAATGACAGAAGGCTACATAGGGATAAATGCTTAAACAAAAGTGGTCCGGACTTCGATTGTGAATTGTGTTGTGTTTTTATGATTTTCCCATTTTAAAAGTTGATTTTATATCAAATTTACAGGATGGTTAACGGCAACTTTGCTAACGAAAGGAAGAAATACCCAGAGAAGTTCATATGCTACCTTTTGATCAGTGCTCAAGACTGAAACTTACAGGATTTCCAGTTTCATCATCAAATATTAAAAAAGATTTTCCAAAAGTAATGAACATGTTTTTTCTGCAAATGATTCCAGTATTAAAGCAGTTAATATTCTCTATAATAACAGAAAAACTGGTTGAAGAAGTATCCTGAAGGAAAAAAAAAAGAAACGGACCCTGTTAAACATACTAATATAAATACGTATATTGTTACATTGTTCAGTCAGTAGAAAACTCAAGTCTATAATTACTATGCTATGTATGATTCAAAGTCGAAGCATCATCAAAGCTTAAAAAATAGAACGTAGCACTCAATAAAAAGTAGAGATTGGAAATAAGTAGAAGGGTAGTGTTTAACAGGTAGTATTTAAATACAGTTTTACAGAGGCTTTACAAAAAAGTCTCACCTTAACTAGGTAAGTCTTACAAGTTCCAACAAAGTCATATGTTAGTCCATCAAATGTTCTGTAATGCCGATCCCCATACGCAGTACACATTGATGGGCAAGGATGGAAGGTGCACTGAAATGATCCATGCTGGCAAATGCTGAAAAAATGTAAGACCAACAATGGTAATATCAACTGTAACCATGGACAAATGATCACATCTATTGCACTGAGAAGCAAAAAACCAAAAGCCACGCAAGTATGATGACTGTGGACAGAAGCATTTTGAAATGTTAACTAGAAGCAGCATATATAAATTGATTATCTGAAAAAAATGTACATATTGAACTCATACAGTCTGTATTTCTTCCTGTTAGAATTTATAGGTTCCAGAATACATAGACACTGAAAGAGAATTTTTTTTGTTGAAACAAGAAAACAAAAAAATGCCACCAGAAGTAATGTAATTTATTCTCTAGTAACTTGTATCGATAACATATCACAAGGATAAAGCTTTATTTTTCAGCATCTCACAGAACACTTGTTTCTATACGAGCTGACCCTCAGAATTAACAAGCAATGTGTCCTTTTACTACAGTCTTTATTCACTCTCTGCTTGAACAAGAATTTCAGAGAAGTGCAACGGAAACATTTCAGTAGCACAATTTTGGTACTTAGGTTCCTTAGAAGAACCATGGTTTGGGTTGTTGGGCTTTTTTTTGTTGTTGTTGTTGCCTAGGTATTATCATCCCCAAACCCTAGCCCAACAGTTTAAAAGGCTTCCAGAATAGTTCAAGTTCTGTCTATGGCCACCTTAAGCATCAAAACACTTTCATCACACATACAGTGTCTGTTTTAGACCTTTCTGAATTACTTTTGCTTTGTAACTTCAAATCAGCAAGGCTTTGCAGCACTGGATACTATGTCTCTTTCTGCATTACCCTCTTGCAATCTAAATAACTTTTCAGAATTGACATAAGATTTATAAATAATGGATGGAATTTCATGTCCTGTATCCACAAGTCATTTTTAAAATATTATTTTTTATGTTTTGAAATCACCTCGAAGCTTAAAAAACTTCCCTCAATAAAGACAGCAGAGCTGGTGCCCTGGTATAGCTTTAGTACAGATATATTTATAAATATAGGTTAAACAAAATACAGCATGTAATATAATTTTGGCACATATCTAAGTTTATTTTTTAAAATATTGAATTATTAATTTCCTGATTAAATTAAAGCTTCCCATTTTACAACTAAAATATTAACCTGACTTATGGAAATACTTGATAAACCACTAATGTTTGGCACCTCATAGACTGAAGCACCAAGCAGTATGAAGTTTTTTGTCAGTATAACTTTTCCTTTTCTGTTCATACTGCTATTGTATATGACAGGGTCAGAACACCACTGTCTTCAAAAGAGCAGCAATTACCTAGAAAATATAGGCAGCTCCAACTACTAGTAGCACTATGTTTCCTTCTGTTCCCTTACCATGTGACTTGCATGAATCTGGAGTAATTTTCCAGATTTCCCAAGAGTCCACTTATCGTTAATTTGGCCCACTGCTCGTGTTTTGCATAACTACATATATAAATACACTAAGCACATGGCTAAAATAAGTTAAAAGTACAACATGTGAAAAGTGTTTGCTGTACCAAAGCACAAGTAGGACTTGCCCAGCCAACTCTCATCACCTCAAAGTGGTACCTAAGGCTAAGACCTAATCAAGCCAACGTAGAGAGAGGCAAATAGAAGAAATTCTATTTGGACTGAAAGAATAAGTGCTGCTTCTCACGCTCTCTGAGAGACATTGGGTTTTAGTTTTACTCTTGGCCTATTCAAATCCTCCTCCACATGCTGATCTATTAAGGGCTCATGCAGAAATATTTCTTAACAGGGGAACAGGAGGGAGCTCCTTTGCATACTTTCTTTTTCAGGGGTCAACACATTCACAGTCAGAAGGAAGAGCTTAAGAGGTACACAACGTCTTCAAAGTCCTCTGCACCAGTCCTGTTTCATACTAACATTTATCAGAACCTAGAGAGCGCTAGTTGGAAAAGCAGGGCTACTAGTGTCTTCCAAACTTTAACTACTTTTTTAAAAATAGTATTTCCAGTAAGTATTTGTTTAAGAACACAGAAGGCCCAATTCAGCAGCTCACAAAGACTAACCAGCATTTGTTCAATGGTCTTAATGTATGATAGCAGACCAGGAGAGCTAACTGGACCACCCACCTTACCTTGCACAACACAGCATCAAGATGCTGCTCTGATACCTTCGGCTAGTGTAATAACCTCGTGTTTAATCTCGCCAGCACATGGTAACAATTTCAGGCAGCTGCACTGAAAACCAAACTTGGGAAACCTAGAACTGCAGTTCAGCTACACAGCAGAGCTTAGGTTGAAATTTCCTGACACTCCACTGGTAGTTTTGCCAATTTAAGAAATTGTTTTATTAGCCATTTTACTGTTCAATAGACAAATCAGATTAATAGTTATGTTGCTAATACTCCATCAGATATGAATAAGATAACATTTAGTATCAATGCACACTATTTCTCTGCACCAAATAACACTAAAGTCATTATAACTGCTATGAGTGCCTATGTGGGTTTGTTTGCACAGGAGTGATTCTCACGCTTTGCATGAGCAAAAATGTACATTTCCCTTGACATATCAAATACAGCCCTGCACACACACAGCAGCCTCAAAGACTTTATACACTCTGCATCAAGCAGAGCTTGTTGCAGACTTCCTATCTTTCAGTGAACAACTGATTGCCAAAAAGCCATTATCACTTAATCCGTCTTGGCTTTTGGACATGGAACACTAGAAAAGCCATGACAACCTTAAGGATTTGTACACAAATTAATGGGCCTGGCCTCAGAAAAAAAAAAAAAAAAAAAGAGAGAAAGCTAAACATCCAGTGTCATTCTGCCTGCACTGCTGCTGCCTTTGGTGAAGTCTCATAGAAATTAAACAGGATATAATAGTTCTTTCTGATGCAAGCAATCCCACACCAGGTCCAATTGGGGGGCCTTTGGAAATAAGAGGGTGAATAACCCGGGTCGCTTTACCTGCCTGCCCAGTGGAGATGGCTTGTAAGTCGCATCACCAGTCGACCAAAGCGCTACAAATATCTTCTAGAGCAGATACTGAGGACCTGACGAGAGGCAGAGGTAGGCAGTCAGCACAAGGCTGGAGGGGGCAACAACATCCAGACATGGCAGTGATTAGTGCTGACTGGACAAGCCTTCGCTGTACTAAGCTACACTGAGCTGTGCAGGCCAGGAGCAGCAGTTTACCAGGTGACACCAGTTGAATTTTCCTGGTAAGCTAAAAGAAGGGGACAACAGGAAGGAACTGCTCTGCTGAGAAGCTGGAGGCTACACCACTACCATAGTATTTTGATGCTTGGCAGTATAGCTGATTTTTTTTCTGAGGCTCTGGTAAGACCAATAGTGCTGCTTAGTGCCAGCTTGCAATGTTCAACAGTGGTCAGAGAAGAAAACAGGCAGGGACCATCACAAAACAAGTCTGTTTCAGGATCACGCAGATGCGGTATATTTTCACATCTTAGCTCTTGTGGAGCTTATTGAAATGGTACCATACCATGTCTTCTGAGAGTACTCAAGGAAACTTCACAGAGTAACACAGCTATAGCGTATGTGCTGCATTTACAACACTGGACAGGAAAAGGAATAGGTTTCTGCATGTATTTGAGTGATCCTATCAACTCTTGTCTGTTGGAACATTTCCATTAAAATCCAGTTGATCCGTCAGTTACCTTATCCACACACGCAAAACTAGCAACCAATTTATGTGTTACTGTACTCAGTACATGATGTTGCTCAGTACTCTCCTTAATTTATCATTGTAGGGGGTGTATACATACGGCCACAGAGTTATGTTTTGGGTCCTTAGACTGCTCAGATTCAACGCTAAATGTGAAAATGAAGAAGTAAAAAGCTTGAAGAAATATCACTCAGGTGTAATAATTTGAATGATTTTACCTGTACTTTATGAACACTAGCCAAGGAATATTAATTTGGATTACCTTGATTAAAAAAAAATAGATATTTTTTAAAATCAAGCTTTTTTAAAAAAAAAAAATCCCAAACAGCTGTTATGTTGTTGTGTAAGAACGCCTCAAACAACAAACCCTAAAAAAATGCCACTTAATAGCTCTTTGAACAAATACAAAATTAGTATAAATGATTTACCAACATCTGGTGTGAAATTTATGATTAAGAAACATGAAGGAATAATCAGTCCATAAGCAAACAACTAAAATAAAATAAATAGATCTCTGCTTACCATGTATGACAGGAAGAAATGACTTTGTCACCTGGAAAGTACTCCTTTCCTTTCCATGAACATGGACATTCATCTGCGTCCAAGCACATATCCCCATGTTTAACAAGTCTATAAAAACGAGCGAAAAATATACATTCATCAGAAGTATACCTGGTACCTAGATGCAAAAATATTTTCCTAAACTTTTAAATTATTAGCGTTATTATTATTGAAAAACAAATAATATTTAAAATATTCTGAAATCGAAAAGTCACTATTTCACTAATAATTGAGTAATTTGGGAATTTCCTTTCACAGTTACCTGAATATTTTATCTTTAGTAAGTGCAAGCACTTTGGGTACTAGCCCTTCAACCACTAACCCTGTGGAGACTTACTAATTAACATACAAATTTTAAGGTTAAGGAAACTAAATTTTCCAAGACCTCCTCTAAATTTCACCAAATTTCTTGTAACTCAGATAATTAACTTATATTGAACTAAAGACAAGAAATCTTCCAAGAGATACAGAAGCCATCATGCTCCTTTGCTCTAGTGGTCTATGCTCTTACTAAAAAAAATCAGTAGCTTATTTATTCTAAGAATTTTTAAATGAAGATTTCCTCATCTTCTTTTCTTCATCTGATTTAAAGAGCTTTCATTTGCTGTATAGTTTTCCTATAGCTGTAGTTACACCTCTTGCTCTGTGAATAATTTAATCAATATCAAAAGGGCTATCCATCCTAGTTGCACAAAATTGATTATGTATTTCTGTACAATTGGTACCTTCATGAAAGCAATCACAGATATACTTAACTTTATTAGCAGAAATATTGTCACAGCCTTCAAAGGAGATTTTAATGATAACACAGATAACCATATGCATAACTACTTACAGTTCAACACTAATGCTATAAATTTGTGCTTATAATCACAACTCCTAGAGTAACAGGTAAAAACCAAAAATTAAAAAAAAATTTTTTCCATTAGATATATACATAAAATCCATTAACAAAGAAGAAAAAAAAGATGAATTCTTGCATAGCAAGACTAAATAAAGCAACTAGTCTAAATTTTAAAGTAAAAATTTGTGGCTTTTAATAATGTCCAGAAAAACTGAAATATGAGAGTTAGATAAAGAGAGATCTCAAACAGATTCTATAAATAAATCCAGGAAATATGCCAGAAATATTGAATGATTTTACTTAAAAAGCTGTCTTTTCACTGAGCCCAACAAAGTTTTATTTCTTACAAAGACTGATTCATTTTAAAAAATACATTGTAATGCTTCTGGGTAGGCAAACAGGTATCAGTACAAGACCTAAACGTCCAATAACAGATAGAAGAACACCTTTGATGATAAATCTATCTGCCAAATGAAAATAGTGAAACGGAAACTCTTGATAAGCTACAGCAGTGTCTTCCACACTAACTGCTGTAGCTCAAACCTGGTTTGTGTTCTGTACCTGTTCCTATGCAGGATCCTGTTCAATACAAGGTAAGAAACAGGAACAACTAACATGACACCTACACAGTAAAAGGATTTCTTAAAGGCACCATACAATCTACAATTATCCTTGTTTCTACATGGTAAGTTCTGAAATGTATTTGCATTGAGAAATAAACAGTCTCTTAAAATGGAACTGTTGGGCTGATAATCTTTTTTCTTTTTCAACGTATTTGTTCAGAACTCCAGTACCTCTCTACAGTAACACAAATTTTATACAGACTTTCCTGTGTTCCTAATAATTTTCTGAAGAAAACAGATTGCGTGTTCCTGATATTTAGCACTGTAATTTGGGCAACACACAGCACAAAAGGACAAGTGATTGTAGGTGTGAAGCACATCCCTGACAAACAGGCTGATGACGCTGTTTTGTTTCCCTTGTATCTAAAGGAAAGATGTCATCATTGCATTTATCATGGAACATTTTATTTACTCATGTTAATGAACTGGAAATCTGTGTACTATGACACATTTTTCTTCAGTATTTTATTTTTTCAGATGGAAATTTACCACTCTGTAGCTCTTCTTAATGGGAATGTGCAGACATCATAAAACCACCTCCCTCATTAACCTGAAAAACTAATTTCCCCCCAGGGTATGTGAAGTGTTCTCTGTAATCCATACTTATTTCAAGTATTGTGTCACTTGAGGACAATCAACTGTGAGACCGAAATTCCCACTGGTTTAAAGCTGCTCAGAACTGAACAGGGCCCATTCAGACAGGAAGAACATCACGCTGACACTACATGCAGTTTTTTCCTCACGTTATTACCCTGGCTAAAACAAGTGATAACAGCTTTCTCTCTTGCACAGCCAAGCAAATGGATAGATTTCAATGATCTAAGAATTCACCACAAATGCCCTACAGAGAGGCCTTGCACAGCTCCCCTTTGAAGTACCAGACATTTTTCTTGACGCCTATACTTACTGTCCAACCCACAAAGAACTGCAAAGATACAATGATAGCTATCACACTTCATCATGCTGAACGTTCAGTTTCATCACTATCTCATTATCATCTTCATATTGAGGAGGCTCTCCAGGCATCAACAGTAATTTTAGAGTGACAGCACTCAAAAAATTCAAGCTATGTGCTTACAAGACTAAATCCCATCAAAAAGCAACATAACTTAAACACATATTTGCTGTTTTTATATTCAAAAATCTCCCAGCAATATAGTGCTCCAAAGTCCAAAGAACAACAACAGCTCATCTGCACATTTTCAGTTTAAGTGCCCGAGACTTAAAGTATCCTTTTGAGGGAGAGAATACTGAAAACAACGCCTAGGAACAAAGAAACAAGCCTCCTTCAGTGAAATGTTCAAATAAGAGGTTAGATATCTGAAAATAAACTATCTAGGCAAACACAATTCTGCTGTAGTACAGGGACTGGATCAAACAATTTCAATGCCCTTTCTATACGCCTGTTATTTTGTTTTTATTATTGTGAGGTATTAGACCTTTGGCTGCACCTGTCTCTTGGTTTACCATTTCTTATGCCTTCAGTGGCCCACATCGTTGTGTGGTAAGCCTTCACAAGGCTCCCTCCTTGACACCTCAAATTATCCAAGTAGAAATGTGGTATGTCCTCAGCAGAATTAACTACTCAGTCACTACAGAAATCAGTCATCTATGTTTGTGCACCAAAAGGTGAAAATCTGTCTGTACTCACGCTGGTGGGCAGACACAACCTGAAACACATGGAAGGTGTGCTGAGAAAGTGAGGTTTAGCAGATGATTCTCGCAAGTTCTCTCTCTGCTGAGCTCAGGATCAACTTGTGGATTACTGCAGTTAATATAAATCTGTCCAACAGGGCAGCCGTGTGCTGGGGGAAAAAAATTGACAAGCACATTAGTCTTCACACCTGAAATTTTGTATTCCATAAAAGCGTGCAATAGATTTAGATTAAGAATATGTAACACAAAAGTGTAACATCCCGTAACATACAACTGCCTGTCTCTCCTGAGTGTAGTTAGCTTCACAGAACCCCTACAAATCTCATGTAAAATACTGAAATTAATATATTAATTTAGTAAGGGACATGACTTTCAAAACAGTTAAGTCAGGAATCAGCCCTCCAAAACAGACATGTAAAGTACTACCAACAGAAAGCAAAAAATTTAAATAAAAGGTCCAAGAGCTGGATGTGACTTTCCATGCTGGGAGCCACTGACTACGAACAAAACAACTCTACTGCACAGTTTAGTCTGGGTTGCACCGAGCATGCCTTGTATGTGCAACAAAAATGCCCAAAGTGGTGGCAGTGTTTTCAAGTGGTTTCGGTTGGTTGCTGGCTTTTTGTTTATTTATTTACTAGGGAGAGAGGTTCCAGGTAATTTTCAAATCAGTATAACCACTACCTTCAAGTGCACAGATTTCTGCTAAAGGCCAAAGAATTGGCAATTGTAGAACTGAAACCTCAAATAAAAGTCCTTCTCACTGAAGTAAAAGAAGCATCATAACAGAGCACAGACCACAATACTTAATGACATACTGTAACAGAAAAAAGCAGTTGTTACATTCTTTTTCTTAACTATGACAAAATATTTTTTCATATTTCAATTACTCAGGGTTTGTGGAGGGAAAGAAAAAATACCAGTGAAAAATTACTGCCAGTATTCAGTTCCCACAACTGCATCAAATGGGGAAAGCTAACCTTTGTCCTACTGAAGTTCTGCTGTTTGTCATGCAGCTAAGCTTGACATTAGCAATCCAAAAATATTAGTATTTTAAAGCACTGGGGAAGAAAAAGTATTTTAGACAGTTATGCTGCTTTTTTGCACCAGCCTTGTTTTCAATCACACAAATATACGATTCCTAAATTATGGATCCCCTCGTGCAAGTTATTAATTTGTACATACTGCACAATCTTCAACTACAGATAAGAGGTTCCATGGAGAATATATATTCTTTGGACTTGAAGTATCTTCTCTCTTCACTCACCTATTACGTTGTTATCACAATTCATTACTCCATCCCTGCAGTGGCTGCAATAAAAATACATTAAGAAGTAATGAGAGCCAGGAAGATCTGAAATATTAATGTTTTCTGTTTAATAATGAAGTATACAGTACGAATCAACACAAAATAACTTTATAAATATGTTTGCATTGAGCAACAGAACCGTGGATAAAGCGTGCATTGCCTTAACAAGTAAAGAATATTCATTACACTTCAAATTTTTGCTTTCTGCATAATGTTACTATGGGTTAAAATGCCTGGGCTGACATAAAAATACATACAGAAATGCAGCACTATACTGCTCCCAAAGACATCAGTGCAGTACGAATAAACTAAGCCCTGTACGTAACAAAATCATCATTATGTAAAACAAAAGTGCAATCAGCAATAGCAGCAAAATAAAACAAAACCCTAAACACACATACCTGTATGTCACAGGTACAGATAGATACAGATTTATAATAATCAGTATTTATGGACACTAGGCAGCTGACAAGAGAAAGAGGAAGAATGAGTGTGTGTTTTCACTAAGTGTCCCCATTGCAATAGGTGTCTGACAATATTAATCTCTTACACGGCCTTTACAACAAACCAAAGTATTACACTGATCTATCACACATGATTTGGTCTGTTCTGCTTTTAATTAAGTGCTGTGCTTTTAATTAACCGATAAAGGCAGTGATAGCTCAAACATTACTTCAAGAGAACAAATTCTGAAAGCTTGTTTTTTACAGAACTTGTCCATGTTACTTAACCTTTTCCAGACAAAACTAACTGTTGAAAAGGATGCATCTGGCAGCAGCCAGAATAGTTTAACAAGTTTTCCTCCTTAATGTCACGATTATAATGATGCAAATGGAAGAGCAAGAGGTCAAGAACAAATGCTACATGTAAGGAAAATGAACAGAGATGCTTGTTTAACTTTGGCCACAGAGTTGACAGTTATTTGTGCTGTTTCTTAGCTTATAAAGCCACATTGCTCTTTTACACTGATTCTATACCAGCAGAACATAGATTTGTAATAATTCTTCATAAATTGATTTACAATCTGGTATAGGGAAGGAGAATAGTAATGAAGGTCTAGCTGAACAGACCTCAATGAACAGTCAAGAAATGTCTGGAGTTTTCTGGAGCTCTCCACATTAGTATGGATCTACAAAATCACAGTGGATAGTGGCTTTTCTCTCTGCTTTGCGCTTCAGTATTTTGGATTATAAACACAGCAGCCTGAAAACTTAAGTTCTAAAGAATCTCTGTCCAAACATACATAGGAAACTGCTGTAGGTTTATTCTGTATGTTTCATTTAAAAAATCACCAAAAACAAAAAAACCAACAGGCTACCCAGAATGATTTGACAGAGCTCTTAGAAGAGACACCATTTAGTCAGGGGAAAAGACAGTTTTGTATCTTACCATTTGCCTAAAGATGTCATAACATTTTCTCCAGGGGGATAGTCAATTCCTTGAAAATAACAAGGGCATTCATTTCTGGAGTAGAGAAAAAAACATGTAACTGTTATTAACTCAAACTGAAGGAAGAAAAAAATTCCCATTGACTTAATTGCTGTTAAAAGCTCAGTTGGTTGCTTTGTTGGTTTTGGTGAGGTTTTTTGGTTCAGTGGGTGGGGCTTTTGTTGTGGTTTTAAATATAAGAAATCGATCTCGGTAACTACTGATACATATTGCGATATAACTTCAGCACATTCCAAACTAAATCAGTAACAAAGCATAACCTCCACACAACAATGGACACATCTTGTTTCTCTTATATGCCAAAGCCTAGACAATATGTAACAATCAGCCTTGGAGACATGGGATGAGTGCCAGTACTATTGCTGATCAACATACAGGTTTTCCATAATTCATCAAGTTTACAGACGAATATAGTCTACCAGGTTATGCATTTATAGGTTTTCACTCTGACTTGCAAATGCAGTGGTCTAAAATAGCAAGTGTGCTTATTAGAACTGCAACTTTACCTACCTCTGTACACATCGCTCGGTCTTGGAATTCAAATACATTCCAGAAGGACAAGCACAGCCTTCAACACAATCACTGCTGCATGTCTCTGGCACAGACAGTGCTTGGCAGGTTCTGCCACAGGTAGATACACAAGTACTGTACTCCTTTGTATCTTCACATGAAAGAGCTGTCCAAATGAAACAGATCTCTCAAATTACAGTGCAAGAGACTCGAGTATCTCCCAACAGTTTTCTGATAAACATCTACATTCTTTCATTCCCAATCACATTAAATTCCACTAAAATTGCTATTTTGGCACTATGCTGTGTAAACTACACAGATGTAAATCTGCAGTAACAACGAGTACAATCAAGTCTGCGCAGTTAATCCAGATTTACACTGGGGAAACCGAACAGTTGAAGCTTTTTTTCCCCTCTAACTCTGAAAACATTTGGCTCTTGCGTAAGGGCTTTAGAAATGGACAGCATCTTAAAAAAAAAAATTTAAAAGCAATAAATAAAATGTGTGTACTTGGCAGCTGTTACACAATACCATCTTAAGTTTTCTTACATATATATCTCTCTATAAAGTTCTACTTTAAAGAAAAAATCTGAAGTTCTTAAACTTTAAACGTTTAAACGTTTTAAACTTTACAAGCACAACTTTTAAAATATATTCTAATAAAACTACACTTGCTTCTAAAAAAGCCAAATAAAATTAAATGGTTTGAATGATTCATTCAGTCATAGTGGACACAAGTCATTCCTGCCATGACAACCGAAAACAAGACAGTCTTTTTAGAGATACATACAGGTACTCCAGCTTGTGATGCTTAAGCAGGACCAACTTTCCAAAATCCTCTTTATCACACAAGATGGATAATTACATGATGCAATGAAAACTACCTGATATTAAATTCTTGAATGTTCCTTAGAAAAGATTTTAAGGCTTGTTTATGGAGCCAAACCTACTGAAATATCAGGGGTGTCAGTTTAGGGCTGTTTTATAGGGTTTCCAATTCTATAATTTTAGAAATATGCACACGAGGGCACTATGTATCCTATCAACATCTTTTGCATCACTAGAAGTTTATGTAAACTATAGAATTTAATAATACTATCCCACTCCTCTATTTGTGAGGCATTATAGACCAGATGAGACACGACTTTTGGCTACCTCTATCTAAATTCTTCCATTCATTTTAAATTAAATATCAAGAGTACCAATTCTCCACACTTATTTCAGCACTCTATGTATTTCAGTGTCACTGACAGTAAAAGAATAAGCTAAAAGAGATTGTCAGACAGCAGAAGTTGACAATAATCCAGCTAAAACTGATAAATACATCACCATCATTTTTTACCTCATTCATTTAAAGAATGAGGTAAAACCTAGCATCTACGAGAAAAAGAACAAATCTATTCACGCAGCACATGAATTATGTCAACACAGGTATGAGATATTCAAAGCCATATAAGAAATATAGTCATTTTTAAAACTGCATACGTTTGAAGCCCTCCAACTAGTTAAAAAAAATATATTTGCACTGTTTCTTAAGTCAAAAGAACTAAAGACAACTATAAGAAACAATCCTGTAAAAACATAGGTTCTTTTTTTGTCTAGACAGAATTAGTACCATACCCTGTACACAAAAGGTCGCGCTAGAATTAATCCTCTTCTCATTTCAAAGATTATAGTAATTTAATTTTATTTTCTATTTGTCATTCTAAAGTCCTCAAACAGTAATTATTTAAGACTAGAAGAGAAAGACAACTCACCGCAGTCTGGGACACCTCCTCTGAAATCTATTACAACTCCAAATCTTCGGCAATGATGAGCATAATGAGCCAGAGCAGAGCAAAAACAAATCTGTCCACATTTGCAAGTGTCTCTTCTGCACTGCTCAAAATAGGGAATGGGACTCAAATAGGGGTAGCATGGAGCAAAAAGCTCTTTCATAAGGATGCTACAAGCTTCCGCTGCATAAGAGGCTATACAAATAACAGATTAAACACTTTCAGTGAGAGAGTTCTAAGAAGACTTGGAATAAAAAGTATTTTCTATACAATGCAATTGATCATGGTTACACATTATTGCTGTATGTATCTTTCTGACTTGGAAAACTTTACAATATACAGACAGGGCCTACATACTGATTCATGGATGTGGGTTAGCAAGAGATTCTACACACTACCCAGTGCCTTTCATAAACACACAGGATTAAACTCTCTTCAGTTTAAGTAATTCCCAGTAATTACTTTCAATAGGTCAGTATTCTAAACAATAATCTGTTGTTACCCATCGTTTCAGCTGCATAAGGCTGCAACCACACCCAGCACTATCGCACAGAACAACAGAGGTATCAAATAGTCATGTAAGAAGCTCCACACACAGCACTCACCTGAATATCTTAATTCTGAATGCATTGAATAATTGTGCAATAGTGGTCAAAAGAAACAATATGCTATATTAGCATACCTAGGAAGAGATAAATTATTTCCCACAAAATAAGAGAGACGCATAAACTAGGACTTCAAAATTCCTTTTTCAGCATTTCTGACTTCCTACACAGCTCACTTTTTTTCTACATTCATGTCCAAACCCACTACCAAGAGTGCAGCTTCTTAGTGCTACATATTTTATAGACACTCAGAAGATAATACGATGTTGTAGCAGGAGATGTGATGATTTCGTAGCACTGCCGAAACTAGAGGCAAACCCTTTCTCAATATTTTACCTCCGTATTTTGCCTAAAAGTATGTAGAATCCAAGACAAAAAGTGGTAGGAACTATGAAATGGATATAACTGATCTACAAAGTTCATCATTATTAAAGGATGTCTTAGTGACCACCTGTGGTCCTCATGGCTTCAGCCACTAGCATCATTCCTCAACTGTACCCTTTCAGCTGAATCTAAAGGCCAGCAGTGCATAACTTTCTCCTACTCACTCTTCTCCATAGTAGGCAACTAAATCAAAAGTTTTGTCTGTTCAGTATCTTCAAAAATGAACGCTGCAATACTTTTGAGTCTCCAGCTTAACCACCAGCATCGTCAGCACTCGACATACTACCAACCAATGCTCTACACATTGTAAGTGCATGGCAGAAACAAAAAGGGCGTATTTCAAGTGCCTCTGCAAGTATCAGAAAATACTTAAACAACACACTACATGATTTGTTAGGGGATTGAACTCAACAAATGCTACCTATAAGTATTCATTTTTTCAGTGAGTAGGACTGTTTATGACTTTACCCAATCCAACTAGGAAAGTCAGCACATGCGTAATAAGTAGATATGCATTTTTCAGTAACAATTGACCCTCACTGCCCACCTGCCTGCAGATGAATATCACACGGATCCATTTGCGAACTATCATGCACAAGAATGCATGCTGATGAAGTCTTCCATGTGCTTCCAAACAGCTCTGGAGTGCTTTCAGTTACTCCAACTGGAGATCTTTTACAAAACAGAAGTCAGTCACAAAAGACAGAGTGCATTTACAGAATGCTCTCAATTCTACCACCCCCTTTCAGCAGAGATGATTTAAACTCCCCTTCCACTGCTCCATATTCTAAGGCACTCTCCCGTAAAGCACAGTCAGCTCAAGTTTCACAACTCTTCTCTTCCTTTCGCAGGCAAAGACCCAGAAAAGAAAGAGAAGATCTGCTCCAGAGTCATTAGATACTCTGTAAGGAAGGACAGATCAAAACAGACCAAGTTCCATTTTCAAAAGAGAGAAGAAGCGAGCACCGCTGTCCTGAAAGTCTGCACTCTCTTATTCATACTTTTGCCTCCTCAGTGACATCTGATCCATTTTTATCTCTTGTCTACCTATAACTTCCTGTCTGTTCCTGGATAGCTGACTTCTCAGGCTCTCTAGTCCCTCCAAGAAAGAGGAAGGAACAGAAATCCAAGAGTCCAGAGATGTAACTGCAAAAGCAACTGGACAGATATCCATGAGGTCCAGGTTAGCTGAGGGGCAGCAGAAGCTGAAAGACAGAGAGAGACTTTGACCAAAATAACCGAGGAACATGGATGTTGTACAGGGAGAATGTTTGGAACCATGCATTTAAATATGGGATGTTACACTGCAGGGAAAAGAATGCATTAGGTATATAATCAGTAGTATTACTTCTGGTAAAGTAGCTGGGGGTGGAGATGTTGCAAAAGGCAACACCATCTATGGCAAATTGGGTGTGGATCAGGTGTTTTGCGTGCATGTCAAGATGCTTGCACCTTCTGGTCAGTATCATGTCTGTAGTTCAAGGGTTTTTCTCACAAATATCATCTACTGAACAACTTCTCATTTGAGAACAAGTCCAAAGACTATAATCAAAAATATACTACAAAACTTACTTGCTTCAAACAGAGAAATATTTTAAATATTTCATAGTATAATATTTAAATATTACATAAGTATAATATTTAAATCTTACAAAATATTTTACATAAAGTCTTAATTGAGATCCTGCCTATATATTTCCTAGTCTCATTATAAGCAATATTCTGATTATACTTTTTAATCTTTAAGATAAAAATTATTCAAAAATCCATGACATATTTTTGTGCTTGCGTGGTCTTACTTGGGAACTATTGTGGAAAGTTTTCCCATTTTTCTATTAGTTTGGATTTTAAAAATTACAACTATTTTGTGAGAAACACATTTTCCTCTTTTTTTTCCCACTTGGTCAAAGAAATATTTTGTCATGCTCTAAATTCACTTTCTCCTTCTCCCACTTCCATTAGGCTACTCAATCCTTTGGAGACCAGTTTTCTTTACCATCTGTAGGAAATATACTGCAAAGAAGCTGGACAAACAGCAATCTTGACTGTGGTGCTCAGGCAGCTATGACTACCTTTCACAGCATCACAACAAGGCAAAGCTCAGGCAACAGTCAATTCCTGGTGCTGGCCTGCAGACACTGAACAATGGAGGCTCTGTCGAAGAGAGCAGATCAGAACTTGGAGCAGAAAATAGGAGATGGAGAGAGATAAAGAGGTTTGCAGGGAGGCAGAAAGTCCCCTACACAGGCCATTCCATATTTTGGACAAAATTTTTCATATAAACTAGCACTTATGAGTCATATATATTTCACTGTATTTTTACAATAAAATATTTTAAGCAAAACCTGGCTTACAGATTTTCTGTTAGCAAGCTAAAACCTACTACCTCACTAACACAAAACCTGAAAATAAATCTTCTTGCTATCTATCCATTCAGCTTCAGTACATGCTTGGTCTACCACTCTAACTGTAGATATTCATATACAAATAGAAAACTTGCAGCTATTCATACAAAAAATCATCCTCCATGTTTCCATTGAAGGTTCCACAAAGGCCCACAGTATCATCTTTCCACCGTCCATCAGCTTGAAGATAAAGCCTCAGTCCTTCTCTGTCATACAGTATCTGTAATCCAACATGTGTCTTTACTTGAAGAAATACAGAGGAGAGTTTCCGTATTTCAAATAACTCTGGTGAGTAAAAACAGAGATTGTTGAAAGGTAAACGAAACCTGCTTGCAATTTGCATTTTGTTTCTTGTCATTTCACTGTCTTTGTTTTATATTATTTTCATGTAAGTTACATTTTTTCCTGTTAAGGCCCTAATGTCCCCAATCATTGATTTCTCACAAAACATTACACTGATTTAGACTTTAAAGAAGAAAACAAGAAACTTATGACAGTCACCACACTTTCTAAAAATGCATCCAGAGTTCACTGGAATACTCATATACGTTAACTAAAAGCAAATCAATTTAAAAATAAAAAGTATTGCAGAGAACATTGCAGACCATTTATTTTAGACAACCTAACCCTAATCCGAGCAACGCACTTCCTATATTAAAGCCTTTTTTGGGAAATTCCCAAGAGCCATGACCCAACAGACATTAAATGTACTAATGATTTGCATATAGAGCTCTTACTGAAGCCAATGTTGAATCTCACAGAACACAGTCATGTATTCATATGTAGAATACTTGGTTATATCTTCCAGAGGGAGAGCTTTAAAAACTCATTGAAGCAAAAAGACAAAGAAACAAAAACCCCTTTTGTCTGAAAATCTGTGGTTATCTGTAAGGGGCAAGAGGGCTCCTTCAATTTATATTTACTCAAGTTGCTTAAAAAAAAAGAGAAAATAAATTATTCAGTCACGAATCAGAGAAAATAATTTCCCCTCATAAAAGAACTAACCAGCCTTGTAAATGTGAGGGATGGCATTTAGACTTTAGTTAGAGACAAAACATATCAATCTTAACATAAGAGACACTAGATCAATAAAGCTACTGCATAACTCCTACCATCAGTGTAAAAAGTAATCAGCAGTTAATGTGTGAAACATTTCATAAGAAATTAACAATGTTGATATTAACAATATACCACAACTTCAGTATGTTAGCAATATTGATAGTATCACAACATACACATATGCCATTAAAATACTGCTTTAGTGCTTGACAGGAGTTATATGTTTATAAATTATTCCTTACCATCTGCATAAGGCAGGTTAATTTTGTATTGGTCATATACCAAAACATCTCCTGAATGAGTCAGAGTCACTTGCCTCTTGGGGTCCTGTTTAAGAATAAGGCTGATTGACTGGATACATGATCCATCCTGGTTCTACAAGTAAGAGCAAAACAAATTAAAAAAAAAAATAATATTTAAGTAGGTTGAATGTTAAATAAGAGTGCACATAAAGCTATAATTAGTGGGGAACTAAAAATTTTCAATTTTATCTAGTTTCTCAGCAGAGTGGAATGATAAAACATATAGCTTCACAGCTAAGTAAGGAAACTTAGTATTTTGAATTATTTCACATGTTTAAATATAACTCTAACCTGTTATGCAAATACAGCTCAAAAGGGGAATTTGGAAAGAGAAACTTAAACAATTCTTACGTAGGTTAGTACAAAGACACTTCCAGTTCATGAGACCCCCTGACTAAAGACCCATCAAGGCTGAGTTAATGCTCAAAACCAAGGCTGCATTATCCACATAGCAGTGCACAGAAATCCAAATTTATACTTTAAAGTGTTCTGATATATCCATCTTTTTTAAAGCATATTTAAGATATAAAATTCCTTTAAAGGCAAACAATAACAAAAGACAGAAGCATCTTGTGAATCATTATTTAACACAGCATTTAAATTCATTTTTTCTGAGAGGAGTTGGAGAGTATGTTCATAAACTCCCTGGATGAATACTGATGGAAGAAAGGCAGCATCATGTCAGCATACAATACCACAACATCCTGCTGGCCCAACTTGCTTATTGTTACTACCATTGCTTATTCTTATTTCAGTTTTCTAATTAAGTCAAAACATGACATAGAAAAAACATGAAAGGGAATAGTTCATTTCAGTCTGGATGAAACATACTCCAAAAAAAAAATCCTAGATCAACCTCATCCCACCCACCCTCTTCAGTGGCACGTAATTGTCAACATCACCAAAAGTAGCTACATTGACTGAAATCCTAAAAAACAAAGTATTGAGACTCACATGCTAAAGTTTCACAACATAAAGCAGTTACATAGACTCCACAAGAAAATTTCACAACAGCTTAAATACCAGGAACTGAGAAGTCAATTATAGTACACTTGTTTTATGTTAGTTAGGACAGATTTTTTTCCATTCAGGATTCTGGTACCTTTTCAAGTTTATAAGGAACTCACTAGGGCCTATGCTGACGTATAGACAGAATTGTTTTTAAACCTTCATCCATTTGTTTTAACTTTAATTATTTTTACAGGTGGATGATTCCCACACAAGACGTGAAAGCCCACATGGCCCACATTTTGTAAACTTTGGCATGAAGAAACACCCAGACAGAAAAGCCTTCGAGACAGCCTAAAAAAAGTCCTAAAGCAAGTCATTTAAGTACCAACCAGTTTCAGGAAATCCCAAACTACTTAATATTCATGAATATTTTATGTTACTCTAGTGATCTTCAACTAGACACCATACTGCACAGGTGGAAAGTGGCACAAGTCTGAGGCCTACTAAATATTGAATGTTTCCAATGTATCACAGTAACAAATACACCTGTACTAAGTAACATGGCAACTAGCCAGACAGATGATTAACATTAGTCAGTTCCTATCAAAGCTCCTAGGCCAGGACTTCCACCTTTCAGAATAACTACAGATACTTTGGCTTTTGATGA